ATCTTACTTCCATAGTTTGATCGAATATATGAAGACCAAGATGGTGTGGCCTTTTGTGTGGTCGCAGTCTTCTTTCGTTATATAGAAATTGTTTGACCTTGTTTTCGCAACTTGGTCATAATAGTAGGAAGATTGATAGAAACGCACCTTGTCTTGAGTCCATTGTATGCATAAATATTTCCAAGTCGGACCGTGGGCGTGGTACATTCCCAGACGTTTTGCCGGCATCGTACTAGGCATCGTCAGTGAGTTTTACCATTCGTAGCACTATATTACAACTCGTCAGAGACGTGTGCTAAACAGTTATGATATCTCCTGTTCTGCCCTGGTCTTTCACATTACCTATAACCTCCAATCATCCCTTCACTGTCACAATATTTTACTTGCTTAATGAAATGTGGTTTGTGCCCCTTTTTTTAGCGGCTTTCGTGAGAACTCTCTGCACTCCACGCTGGCCTTCTCACCGCCCTTCATCCTTGTTCTGGGAATGTTGATCGGAGTCTGCTATATTGTTATGCAGTCCTCCCCTAGATTACCATTAAATCAGTTCTATGAGTCGTATTCACCTCTTAAGGTGATTAAGGATTTTTAGTTGATTTTTCCTACATTGATATGAATATAGCTGTTTCCATTGAATTTCGCATTGCCTTGCTTTCCCATAAGGTGTTCTCATCCAGAGTGGACTGCAGTTTCGACCTCAACTAGGTCTTACCAACACCATAAGCGGGAGTTGAAACATAACACTGCAGCGTGGATGCTCGATACATTAACCACTACGCCACATTGCCACAAGTGCCTTTGATGATGAATAACTGGTAGTCAATTTTTCCTACAATGTTATGAGTATAGCTGACATTTTATTTAAGTGAGTAGATCATTTAGGAAAAAAGGTAATGTCGTCGATTGCTATAGCAAACATAAGTTTGCTTTACCAACAATCCCAACACAGAATGTGATATTTAAAATGGCTGACATTTCTTGAAATTCAAATCTGCCCTATGACCCAAAGGCACTAGTGGCAATGTGGCGATGTGGTTAACGTGTCGAGCTTTTACGCTGCACTGTCATGGTCCGACTCCGACTTGTGGTGTTGGTAAGACCTAGGTGAGGTCGAAACTGCAGTCCACTCTGGATGAGAACATCTTATGCGAAAGCAAGGCTATGCTATGTAAATATCAGCCCATTCATATTATTTTGGGATAAGTCAATTATCCATCCTTCATCACCTTAAACAAAATAGGGCGAATACTACTTTCTCTCTTTGTCTGCTAGCTAGTCTGCCCGTACATTCATTGCCCTGTTTGTTTCAACATTTTAAATTTTAGGAGATTCAGTTACGCTGGGGGAAAGTGATCGAGCTGGAAGGAAATCGAACTTCGCTTCTTCAAAAAGAACTGGCTCGCCAAACTGCTAATGACACTCTTCGTCGCGAGTTCGCTCGACTCTCTGATGAATCCAACTCTTGGATAGAATTCCAGCAAGCCGCTGTAAACTCTGTTAGCCTGAAGGGCACTGGTAGTCTTGAGGAGCTACTCAAACAGCTGCTTGATATTGAGAATATTGTTATCAAAAACCGTGATCAGTTGGACAAGCTTGAACAATGTGACCAGGTAGGAGGCTACTCCTAAGCTAATAGGTGCATCGTTATTTACGTCAAAGAGGATTGCAATACTGTTTAAAACTATATTTTTTG